TTTTTTTTTTTTTTTTTTTTTTTTTTTTTTTTTTGTACTAGTTAATGAACTCAGGGATGCTGTACAACTGAGCTACATCTCTACCATTTTTTTAAAATATTTTTTAGTTGTAGATGGACACATTACCTTTATTTTGTCTATTTAGTTTTTTTATGGGGTGCTGGGGATCAAACCCAGTGCCTCATGCATGCTAGGCAAGCGTTCTACCACTGAGCCACAACCCCAACCCTCCACCACTTTTTGTTTTGAGATAGACTCTGACGCTAGGATTACAAGCATGGACACCAAGCCTGGCTCTGTAACCCTTTTTAAAATACATAGTTTGAGATATAATCTCCCTTAAACCACTACAACCCATTGTCCCATTAATGGAACACCTATAAAAATATAAGTTGGAGAAAAGTTAGCCTTTTTAACAAATGGTGCTGGGAAACCTGGAAATCCACATATAAAAGAATGAAATCTAAACCCTATCTCTCACCCTGCACTAAAGTCAACTAAAAGTAGATCAAAGACCTAGGAATTTGACCAGAAATTTTGCAACTGCTAGAAGAAAATGTAGGCCCAACACTCCACCATGTCAGCACAGAAACTGACTTCCTCAACAAGACTCCTAAAGCTCAAAAATAAAATCAAAAATCAATACTGGGCTGGGTATGGTGGTACATGCCTGCAATCCCAGCAACTTCAGAGGCTGAGGCAGGAGTGTCGCAAGTTCAAAGCCAGCCTCAGCAACACAGCAAGGCCCTAAAAAACTTAGCAAAATCTCAGGATGTGGCTCAGCCCCCTGGGTTCAATCCCCAGTACAAAAAAAGAAATCAATAAGTGGGATTGCATCAAATTAAAAAGCTTCTGAACAGCAAAGGAAACAAGCACATGAAGAGACAGCCTACAGAATGGGAGATCTTTGCCACCTGCTCCTCAGATAGGGCATTAATATCAAGAATATACAAAAAACTCAGACTTAACAGCAAAAAAAACATAAAACAATAACCCAAACAATAAACAGGTTAAGGAACTGAACAGACACTTCTCAAAATAAGAAATACAAATTGTTAACAAATATATGAATAAATCTTCAACATCTCTAGCAATTAGGGAAATGCAAATCAAAACTTCATTGAGATTTCATCTCACTCTAGGCCGAATGACAATTATCAAGAATAAAAATAATAATTAATATTGAGGATGTGGGGGGAAAGGTACACTCATACATTGCTGGTGGGACTGCAAATTAGTGCCACCATGTGAGCAGCTCTGCTCCATGCTCCTCACCAGCATGTAAGTTTACAAAATAAATCATGTCATCTTAAAAAAAAAAAAAAGACCCATAGTTCCGCCTCTCAGTATCTTCCAAATTGTATTATGTGTGTGCACATGTAAGATGTGTGTGTGTGAGAAATTATTTCCCATTTAAAATAAAACTAAGATACCAAAAAAAAAAAAAATCTATAAAATTTCTCCAGGAAATTGGAAGCTGGTTGCTGAGCTTTATTGGGAAGAGGTGCTGATAAAATCAGCTTAGTTCATTTAAACTGCTGTGGTCTACAAAGTAAAGAGAGAAGGAGAAATAGTAATCCTATTGCAAGAAGAATTAGGAGGTATTAGTACATGCATTCCCCTTGAGTCACAGACTAAGAACTGCTTTAACGCTTTGCTCACAAGACCTGTTGAAATGTCACAGAAGCAGAATACAACTGACACTAGGAATGCTGTATGTATACACATGGATATATATCCAACGTGATCCTGCAATCTGTACACGTGGAAAAATGAGAATTCATACCCTATTTGAATCAAATGTATGATATGTCAAGATCATTGTATTGTCTTGAGCAACTAATAAAAAGAAATGTTACAGAAGGATGCTCATGCATCACGTGACTCCTTCAATGGCATCCCTTAAAAACAAAAAACAAAAAAAAACACCTTTTTCTCAAAAGAATCTCACTCACTTTTGCTCTTTGTTGCTCTTCTTTAAATACAAACATTCTTCCTAAGAACGGATCACCTTACATTCCCAAAACCATTACATGGCATAACAAGATGTCTTATCCACAAAACAAAACATGGAAAAGGCAATCGTGCACCACAAGTTGAATTCCAGACATATTTCTTACCTGTTGCCAAGTGGACTCTCACCCTCCTTCAAACCCTCTGTCCGCAAACTTCCCTCTAAGAGCTCCTTGAGGAGGACCCCAGTGATGAAGCACAGAAGGTGAAAGAGAACAGCAGCCCTTTACTATCCCTTCTTGTTCTCCTGCTCTAACTTGTACGTTTCGGGCTAAGAGAGTGCCCTGGCAGGTAGCATCACCAGCTTCACAGAGTTAGAGATGTTCCCCAAGAAGCTCCCCTGTACCCCATCACCCCCGAAAGTCAAGTAGGGGAAACACTTATCCCTTGGAAGAGACTGGCAGGCGAGAACAACTGTAAGTCCCGCTGCTCACACACTGGAGGAAATGATGCAGGAGGCAACGTGAGCGAGAGAGCAGAAAACGGCTGGCCAGCGGAAGGGACACCTCCCAAGTCCAGCCTAACTCCAAGCCATCCTCGCCCTGTTGTCATAGCACTTTACAACGGACGCTACTGCGCAAGTCACACGCTGCGGCCGCGCAGCCTACTGGGGGCTGTAGTCCAGAGAGGCTGAGGCCCGGGAGGCGGGGACTGGTTTCTGGGAGGGCCGCGACTGGAATCCGATGTCGTCTGGGCTAGACTCTGCCTACTAGACTTTAGCAGAGGGAATTAGCGCAGTTCTTCTCCCTCAGACCCAGGTTGTGAGAAAGCCACGCCGCCTTCCGGGGCTCGGGACCGACGCCTCGCCTCCCGCACCAGGGCCCCACCCACTCGGCTCCAGTGGGCGGGGCCCACGCAGAGCTGCCGTGAGAGGCGCGCCGCGGCTCCGCGGCTCCTTCTGTTCCCGCGCTTCGGAGGCTGGCGGCCTTGTCGAGTGAGCGGCCGCTAGTTTTTTCAACGAGATGAGCCCGAGGGCCTGTGCATGGACTAGGCAGTCTTGGCCAGCGTGTGCGCCCTCGAGGCGCAGGTGGTGCTGGTCTACTGTATACTCAATTTGAAAAGGAAAATGGGCTGCAAGACCAAGATCCTCAAGCTGGTGGAGGGTTTTGAACAGTTTCTAGGTTTATGTGGCTTTTTTGATAATTGAACAAGTATTATTATGAAATTATTTGTACCTGTCCCCTGATACACATGTGTAAATTATTCTTTTTAGTAATCGCCTCAAAGTGGCTTTCCTGTTATATAGGGTATGCAAAATATTCAACTTCGTAATGTCAATTTAAAAAAATACTTAGTTGTAGATGGACAGAATACTTTTATTAATTATGTGGTGCTGAGGATCGAACCCGGTATTTCACATGGAGGAAGCAAGTGCTCGACCACTGAGCTACAGCCCCCATAATGCCAACTTTTTTAACTTTTTTTTTTCATCTTTACTTTCACATTGCACTTAGCTTATAATACCTTGTCAGTCACTTACCTCAAAATTTTGTTCTTTTTTCAATGGATTCCAGTATAGGCTTTAAAGTTTTATGTTTTCCACCACTAATCCACATTCCCAATATAAGACACATTTCTAGCCAGACACAGTGGCACACACTAGTAATCCCAACTATTTGGGAAGCCAAGGCAGTAGGATAACTGAAAGTTGAAGGCCAGTATGTATAACCTGAAACCTTGTTTCCAAAAAAAAAAATTAAGGGGTTGGGGATGAAAAGAAGATCCCTGCAACCAGATAAGTCTGAAAGCTGAGATAGGTTCAACCTATTTCAGTGACAATGTAGGATAGTTTGAAGAACGGGATTTGCTGGGAAACCTAATGTTATTTTGCATTTGTAGCATGAAAAGCTCAGTAATGGTGCCAGAATTCTTCTCAAGGTGTATGGTAGTTACAAAAATGGTAATAGTTTTTATCCTTGCTTGTTTGCTATCAAGCTTTACATATCCATCCCTTAATTATGAATTTATCCTTAATGACTTGCTTTGGATGAATAAGACATTAGTAAACATAATGTAGCCAAGCCAAACCTTGAAAGGTGCTTATGCATTGGGGCTTGCCCACTAGGAAAACTGGATGATAACAGAAATGTTGTCAGGTAATCTCCTTCCCTCTAGAAGGTTCACACTAGAGAAACAAGCCCAAGTACAGCCACCAGCTAAATGCAGAGATAATCAATCTACCTCAGAGCAGAACTACTAAAAAATATTTTTTTAAATCATCAGAGACATAGGGACCATATCCATCATCAAGGCCATTTGTTTGTTGAGCCAAACACTAAATAAATAAACATATATAATATGTGCAAGGCACTACGTTAAGCATGTCCCATAATTTAATATTCAGAATACAGATTTAAATCACTTTTTACCTTAAGTCATAGGACAAAATAAATTTGGGAAGAAATAATACTAATCTTACTTATCTGTGATGCCCTCTGATATTTCTACTTCGCAGGGTCAGGGACTGGGGACCAAGCCTAAGCCTCCTGAGTAACTGGGACTATAGGTGCATGGTAGCACACCCAGTTGTTTTGTTTGGGGGTGCTGTGAAGGGTTTTTTGTTATTGTTGTTGTTTGTTTTTTGTTTGTTTTGCGGTGCTAGGGATCCCATTCAGGGCCTTGTGAATACTAGAAAAGCACTGTGCAGGGGCTGGGGTGGTGCCTCAGTGGTAGAGCGCTCACCTCACCCGTAAAAAAGTGCCTTACAATTAAGCTAAAAAATTTTATTTTTAAAATATTTCTAGCAATTCCCTAAATTTGAATTCATAATCCTCTAGTGACTCTCAACCCACAGTAAAATATAATATATATATTTTATATATATTATATATGAAAGTTGCATTCATCAGTCCTGATAAATACTTGTGGAATTTTGTTTCCTTCTCATCTTGCTTAATCTATTTGAGATCCAGATCTTTCACAATTTATGCCAGACCTAAGACAACTCCATCCCATCCCATCTGCCTCTCCAGCATTATCTTATGACTCTGTCCCTTGTCTCATAGACCTCCAGTTTCATGTTGGCTTTTTCTTTCTCACATGCACAAAGCCTCTTCTAAAGACTTATTCCACCTTCTGGGATGCTTTCTTTTATTCCTTGTTCCAACAACTCCTACTTGTCCTTTAAATCTCTGCTGGTTTGTCCTTTTGTGGGAAGACTTCCTGAGATGTCACTAGAATAGGTATTCCATGTGTCTTCATAGAAATGGTCACTGAAGCCGGGCACTATGGTGCACACTGTAATCCCAGCTGCTCAGGAAGCTGAGACATGAGGATTGCCAGTTCAAATCCAACCTCAATAACTCAACAAGACCCTGTCTCCGAAAAAAAATAGAAAAAGAGGTTGAGGATGTGGCTCAGTGTTTACAAGCTGCTGGGTTTAATCCCTGGTATTAAAAAAAAAAAAAAAAAGAACTGATCATTGAGTGGGGCGTGGTGGCACACACTGTACTCCCAACACTAGGGAAGCTAAGTCAGGAAGGATCTCTGGAGCCCAGGCATTCAAAACCAGCCTATGAAGGATCTCTGGAGCCCAGGCATTCAAAACCAGCCTAGAAATATAGCAATACCCCATCTCTAAATAAATCAGTAAATAACAAAAACAAACCCTGGTCATTAAAACATTAATATATGGGTAATTCGTGGTTCAACATTTTTTATTATGTAAGCTTCATGAAGGCAAAGAGCAATTTATCCCCTCCACTTAGAAAATTGTCATTCCATAGTGATAGATAATCACGTGTAGATGGGTAGGGGAAGACACTAAAACGAAGTAATTTATAGAGAGGGCATCAAGTATGTACATCAAAGGTATTCCATAAGTCACAGGACTTGGAATAATAGAAATTTTATCAAAGCAAACAAAAATCTGTCAAATGGGAAAGTTTTTTAATATACAACAGGAGACATAGCTTTCCAAATGACCCTGATAATCAGATCCAAATAGAACACATTTCTCCGTCACAATCATGAATGAAATGTCCATTAGAGCTGGTTGTGGTGGCACACACCTATAATCCCAGTGGCTCCGGAGGCTGAGGCAGGAAGATCATGAGTTCAAAGCCAGCCTCTGCAAAAGTGAGGCATTAAGCAACTCAGTACAACCCTGTCTCTAAATAAAATACAAAATAGGGCTGGGGATGTGTCTCAGTGGTTGAGTGCCTCTGAGTCAATCCCCGATACCCCCTCCCCAAAAAAATGTCCACTAGAATTTTGTTGAATGAGCTGGGTATGGTTTCGAACACCTATAATTCCAACAGCTGGGGAGGCTGAGGCAGGAGGATCATGAGTTCAAAGCTAGCCTAAGCAATTTAGAGAGACCCTGTCTCAAAATAAAACATAAAAAAGGGCTGGGGGATGTGGATCAGTGGTTAAGTGCTCATGGGTTCAATCCCTGCAACAACAACAACAAAAAAAAAAAAATTGTTGAATGATGCCAGGCTTCATGGAACATGCCTGTAATCCAAGCTATCTGGAACAAGGATGGCAAGTTCAAGGCCTGCCTGGAAAAATTAGCAAGACCTTGTCTCAAAATAAAAAGTAATGGGAATGGTGGCACACGCCTGTAATCCCAGAACTCAGGAGGCTGAAGCAGGAGGATTGCAAACGTGAAGCCAGCTTCAGCAATTTAGTGAGGGTCTAAGAAACTCAAAAAAATATATATTGGCTGTGTAAGGTCCTTGCTTAACATCTGCCTAGCCATTTTAAGTGACAGCCACCATTTTAAGGAAAAGTTTCACTTTCCCTCCCTGGTGTTTCTGAGAAGTCTCACCACTCCCTTATACCAACCCAACCCCTAACTGCCTGCACTAGGATTGCCTGGTTGTGATTCCTGAGCCTCTCACATAAAAGTCCCAGAACTCAAGCCTGTTTTGCCTCACTCTCCTATAGAAAGATGGCCTTTATTTGTCAGCTCTTACAAATAAACTCTCATTTGTATCTCTGCCTGGTCTCCTTTTATTTCTCGCTTACCGTCTCTTGTTCCTCCATTTCCCTTCAGGCCAAGAACTGTGGTGCAAGCTGTAATCCCAGCTACTCGGGAGGATGAGGCAGAAGGATTCCAAGTTCAAAGCTAGCCTCAGCAAAAGTGAGGCACTAAGCAACTGAGTGAGTCCCTATCTCTAAATAAAAAACAAAATAGGGCTCAGGATGTGGCTCAGTAGGTAAGCATCCCTGAGTCCAATCCCCAGAACCAAAAAAAGAAAAGGAGGAGGTGGAGTTGTAGCTCAGTGGTAGAGTGCTTGCCTAGCATGTGGAAGGCACTGGGTTCGATCCTCAGCACCACATATAAATAAATAAATAAAGATATTGTGTCCCTCTACAACTAAAAAAATAAAAATTTAAGAATTAAAAAAATACATTCTACTGTCATGTGTAACTAAAAAGAACAAATAAATAATTACAAAGAAAAAGTAAAAGTAAAAAGGGTTGGGGATGTAGATAATGGTAAAGTTCAATCCCCAACACCAAAAAAAAAAAAAGTTGCCCAGGCTAGCCTTGATCTTGAAACCCTCCAGCCTAAGTAT